AATAAAGCGACAGCTGGGAAGCCCCAGGCAGCTGTGGATTTGCACTTTGCAGTATCTTTCATCTGAGGACCTCAAAGCACTTTACAAACCATTAAACTGAGTTTCACCACCACATCCCTGCTGCCACGGAGACAGGCAAATACCTGCAAGTCCAAAGCGGAGGGGTAACAATGCCCAGCACTTCTCTGAAAAGGAGTCTGCAGAGTCCAAGCCCTTCCACATTCATGAGACAAAGGCAAGTGTTATTCCCATTTCACAAGCAGAGGCATGTACCGTGTGTTACCCAGTGCCCCGTACAAGCCAGTGACAGAGCCTGGAAGAGAACCCAGGAGTCTTCCTGACTTTCCGTCCCCTGCCAGGGAAGCTGAAAAGGAAGAGAACACATCTCAAAACACAATTAAACTAACTCCTAATTAGATGCAGAGCACAACTGAGTTGAACTATATCAAAAGAAAAAAAAAATCTTTAGATGGGGCATTAAGTCCCACTGGCTCCAGCTGCATCTAAATTAAGAAACATCTCGCCAACAGCGGCTGATTTTGCAGTTAATGATTCTTAATGAAACAGTAGGTTGCAAACGGGTGACGAGTTTTTTGAGAATGAATCTGAGTCCAGGGCAAACTATAGAGCGCTCTAATACTTGAGGGGAAGAGCTACAAACAAGCGGCCCCCCGACTCACTCTAATGAAGCGTATAGCGAATTCTATCAGAAGTCAACGTATTTACATTCTCGGTCTTTGCAGAACAGCAAACAGAAGAAGAAAACCTGTTTGTTCCAAGCTTCAGTAAGTGATCAGAGACTCTCAGAACACTAGGACTGGAAGGGACCTCAAGCATCCATCAAATCCAGTCCCCTGCCCTCACGGAAGAGACTGGAAGGGACCTCAAGCATCCATCAGATCCAGTCCCCTGCCCTCACTGAAGGCCAAGCACCAAAACATCCCTGACAGGCGTCTGTCCAACCTGCTCTTCAATATCTCCAGTTATGGAGACTCCACAACCCCCGGAGGTAACTTATTCCAGTGTTTAACCACCCTGACAGGTAGGAAGTTTTTCCTAATGTCCAACCTCAACCTCCCTTGCTGCAGTTTAAGCCCCTTGCTTCTTGTTCTATCCTCAGACACCAAGGAGAACAATTCCCCCTCCCCCCATTTGATACCCTTTTAGATACCTGAGAACCACTATCACGTCCCCTCTCAGTCTTCTCTTTTCCAAACTAAACAAGCCCAATTCCTTCAGCCCCCCTTCATAGCTCGTGTTTTCTAGACCTTTCATCATTTGCGTTGCTTGGTCATACATAGCAGATTCCAGTGCATGACCAAGACTGTTTCAGCACAAAAGAAGCAGGACTAAAAGCAACGGTCCTTAGCTCATTATCTCTTGCGACTGCTCACGTACCTGCTGTCATAAGCTTTAGAGAACTTTCACAAGAGACTTTACACGCTGTCACTCCGTACAGGCCTGAAGGAAGGGATCCTATTAGAAATCAGCCCTCCGGTTTTTCGCAGACTGTTGCACAAATAGTAATGCTGCATGCTGCAAAAAGTTAGGGACAGCTGCTAAGATCAGACTTAACTGCGGCTTCTGTGATGCAGCTGATGCTGAGGATTTCTTGCCCAACAACATGCAGAATATGAACAGCCGGGGAGAGGGAGAAGGCAAGAGATGCTAAGGAGAGGAAAAATTGCTGTGCAGATTCCGGCATAAGAATTAAAAACCACTGTGGTGATAATTAGTGTCTTCGATTATCATTACGGAAAGGTTGAATGTATTAACCCTTCCGGCAACATCGACGCTGCAAAGTCCTTCTAAAAGAACCTTGAGTTTGCTGGGAAGTCCTTAGAAAAACCTTCTGTTACTTGCAGAATGCGGCCTTCCCCTGCCACACACGACACTAATTTAACACAGAATATGAACTCTACATGCTGGATTCTCAGAGAAGGGCCACTCAGATGCATATAGAACATTAGCAAAATGCAATGGGGGGGGGGGGTAAACTGGCCTTTGGGTTGTAAATACGCAGCTATAACTTCTGGTAAAATGGTTAAAGAGGCGGTAGTGCTGGTGTCCATGCGCAAGCATGGCTGTGTGCACACGGAAATGGATATGCAAAGGCAGCAAAAGCCCAACGGATCAGATATTGGAAAGTAAGAAACGTAGCAAGGAGCTGCTCCAAAGAGTGCTCTAATTCACCACCCAGGTGGTTTCAAGAATCCTTACATCAGCTGGAGTTTATAAATAAAATGAATAAAAAAAAAAAAAACAATCTCCCCCCCCCACTTGCAGAACATTTCACAGCATTAACCTTACACCCCAAACGTTATACAGTGGTTACACTTGTTAACATTTATTTTTGCTGACACAGCCGCAAAATTAGAAGATGTTTGCAAAATACAGCGGCTCCAAACAAACTTGTCATGGGATGCAGAAGAGCCTACACATGCACAGGGTGAGACTCAGAGGCTGAGTGCTAAATTTCAGAGACTGCTTTATTATTTGGATTTGTCAAATGACTCCTTTAGACTAGGAGTTCAGCCTGGTACTGGCTCTTAGCTACTCCTCACTGCTATTCCCCCAGGCTTTGAGCAGAATAAAGGAAGAGGACGTCTCTCGACACTGTGCTTTTCTTGCAAGAGTCACACTCCTGGGTCTTGTGCCTGAAGCCTAAAACATTCGGGAAATCCCTCTGGCTCTATGGTGAGCCAGGAGCCTTCCTTAAAGGCTCTGACTTAAGCTGACCTCTTGCTTTGCACTAGTCTCCAGCACACAAAATACCAAAATCTCGCTCTACAGCGACCAGCACTCCAGATGAACAAGAGGGAGGCAGGCGGAGAAGTGCCCGGCAGGGTAGTTTGGGTTTTCAGAACGGCAGTCCTACAAGTTAAGTAATCTTCCCTAAAGATACCTTGGAGGATTCTCACTTTCGGAGAGCCAGCAGCCTGGGAGATGTCCCAAAGGACACAGAGTGGCAGACTGAAAGAACAGAAACAAATGCCAAGGGTTTTTCTCTCTCTT